GCAGCTGCCTCTGCGCGTCCTGGAGATGTACCAAATTGTCACCGCTCTAGTGCAACTGTTAGGCCCACACAAAGTTAACGATAGGCTAGTGCCATTTCACTCTGACACGCTAATCTTGAAAACGTCTCCAACGGAGCTCCGTGTTGCTCCCAGCGCCCTCCCCCGCGCTCCCTGCGGCCATGGCCGATACTACTAGTATGAGCGGTCATCTGGCTACCGCGAGAGCGACCCAACTCGTCGACATCGTCCGATGATGGTGCCGCAAAGTCAGCCTTCGGAGGCTATCGTGGGGTCGAGCCGGCAGTAGCCGTGACATGTGGTTCCACCACCCCTCGTAGGCTTTGCCTCTGACCGCCACCGTTCCCAAGGCTGCCTAATGGGATGGAAAGGAAGGCTGGGAGAGCGTATAGAAGCGTGCCCGACCTTGTCGTGGCAACCTGCACGGCAGCGCTGGCGGGCGCGATGAGCGTCGTGCCACTTGACCGGAGACGGGTCGCAGGCGTCGTACCGAGCGCGTCAAGTCCGTGTACTGATGTGATCTGCACGGGTGAGTCACGTCGGCATCAAAGGAGCGACGTGCGACCTGTCAGAGCTTGATCTCCGATCTCAGCGGCGTCGAGCCGTATTGTTGGCTGAAATCCTCAACGTTGTTCAAGTGTTCTCCCCACGCCAGCCCAAGCTGTTACTGTTGTTACTGTTGTTACTGTTGTTCAGTGGTCAGCAAGCAGAAAATGCAAAAAACACCGGGTAAAACCCGAAAATACCTGGGTTTTCCCGGGTATTTTCGGGTATTTACCCGCACTGCCACTGGACGCTGGAGATCGTCGTGGGTCACTGCCAGGCCTTCCTTATTGTTGTTCAGCCGGCCTAACGTTAGCTACTGTTGTTGGGGAGCCCCACTGTTGTTTCTGTTGTTACTGTTAACACTAGCAACACTGTTCAGCTCTTAACGTTTGACAACCCTACGCGACGGGCGGGTCCGCATAGGCAGTCTCGCTAAAAGCTGCTCTTATGGGGCACCGCTGCGACTCCCTTGGGGATGCCTGAGGCCACCCCAACCACTCCCCAAGACTTACGTGGACGAATTCCCCTACTTTTATCTTTTTGTTCGTCTACCCACATCAGCAACTTCGTGGTAACGCCCAGCCCCCAGCGCTAGCCCAGTCAACCCCATCGGGGGCGGGGCCCTTCAAGGGCCTCTCTCTCGTCACGAAAGATGATGTCGCAGGCAGGGTTCGGACTTTTTGCGGGGTATGGTATGGTAGGGTCGCGCAACCCACCTCGAGACCATACCCCGCCACACGTACGAACACGGCCTGCGACAGCATGTTTCGTGACGAGAGAGAGGAAGGGGAAGGGCCCTGCACGGAAAGGTCCTGAATGGACTAGCGTAGATACCTGACCGGTACCACAAAGTTCCTCGTCTAAGCCGATGTTCCATAAGATACGAGTAGCTGACTTGGTGGTGACCGC